GCTAGGATTGTATTTGCTAAAAACTGGGAAAATGAGAAAATACCATCACAGGAGGAAATCATTAAGAAAATATTGGAATGTGCTGAAATGAGTAGATTGACATTTGGAATTAGAGACCAAGAGGATAAACAATTTTATAAAATTTGGGATCTATTCTATCAATGGTTAGACAATAAAATACAGTAATGAAATATGTAGACTCTTAGAAAATAATAAATATATAAAGATGTATTTCTTTCTTATTATATCTACAAAATGATTTTAGGATAGATTTGGATGATAATATGAACTGTTATAAAACAAACTAAGTAAATTATGATTATCTTGTAAAACATGAATGATTAAAAGTATAGTTAAATGATTGATTAATAATGATACTAAGGCATTTAATTTTTGATTAAAAATACGAGATTATATGCAATGTAACTGTAATTGAAGACTATGAAATGGAAGCACAAAACAATTTGTAAACCAACTGGCACACTGTATGTACACCTATGGAAGATGGCTTGATGTTTTTATGTTTTGTTTATTTATGTTTGTTTTTAAAAACCAATACAAATTTATAAAAAAAAAGATCCAAGTGGATCTCAACAGACTTGAACACTGGATCCTATCTAACAAAATAAAATTTAATGGAAAGAAAAGTAATATTTTACACTTAGGCAAGAAAAATCGAATGTACAGGTATAGATTAGATGAAACCTGGTTCAATGAATGAATGAATAAATGAATGAATGCATTCTTTGTTAGCCAAGTGTGATTAGACACATAAGGGATTTGTCTAGGTGCATATGCTCTCTGTGTACATAAAAAGAAAAGATACATTTGTCAAGAATCATAAGGTACAACACTTAATGATAATCATAGGGTACAAATAAGCAATCAAATCATATGGGAAACAAGTCAATATAAATTGTAAGGATACAAGCAACAAAGTTACAGTCATACAGTCACAAGGAGGAGGAGATGGGTGATAGGAACGATAAGATTAATAGTAATACTAATTCAGACTTAGTAAATAGTTGGACAGTGTTGAGGGAATTATTTGTTTAGCAGAGTGATGGTGTTTGGAAAAAAAACTGTTTTTGTGTCTAGTGTTCTGGTGTGCAGTGCTCTATAGCGGGGGTCACCAACCTTTTGGACCTCAGGGACCACCAAACACATTAATATTAAATCCTGTGGACCACTAATATGAATTTTGACTGATGGTGGCTTGCTGACATTGATGGGAAAGTCAGTCCCATATTCCAGAGCTGCAGTAGTCACAGGACTGGCCCTTTGGTCATCCTGGAGCAGCTCCGGAATGACCAAAGGGCCAGTCTTGTGACTACTGTAGCTCTGGAATATGGGATCAGCCTGTGGTGGAGTTGGAAATTTCCGCCATGGGGTGGCACGTGTAATGTGCAAATTGCTGGTGGTGCAACATGCAAAAAGCAGCGCAGCCCTCGCCAGCCAGGACAAGGTAATGGTGCTGTTGTGGCAAGAGGGGGGAGTGGCAGAGGCGGGCCGAAGAAGTGATGGAGATGGCTGGAAGGTGCAGGAGTGCCACACTACTTGCATTTGCGTGGCATCAGCATTCCACCTTCCTTCAAAAGAGCCCGGCCAAAGTTTCCTGCGCCGCTTGTACTTCAGTGCTTTGACTCCCAGGAACAGGAATTCAGCCAAGCTACCTGCAAAATCATCTCTCTCTCAAGGAGCGCTTGCAGCAGCAGCACAAGAAATTTTGGCCGGGCTCGAGAGACAAGAGTGACTCTGGCTGCTTCTCTTTGCGAGCGCTCCTAGAGAGACGATTTTGCAGGTAGCTTAGCTGAATTCCTGTCCCTGGGAGTCAAAGCATTGAAACAGTTTATGTCCAGGATGTGAGGGGTCTGTAAATATTTTCACAGCCCACTTTTTGATTCGTGCAGTATACAGGTCCTCAATGGAAGGCAGGTTGGTAGTATTTGTTTTCTCTGCAGTCCTAATTACTCTCTGGAGTCTGTGTCTGTCTTATTGGGTTGCAGAACCAAACCAGACAGTTATAGAGGTGCAGATGACAGACTCAATTCCTCTGTAGAACTATATCAGCAGCTCCTTGGGCAGTTTGAGCTTTCTAAGTTGGCGCAGAAAGTACATTCTTTGTTGTGCTTTTAGCAGTAACTGAAAGGGGGATCTTGGAGTCCTAGTGGATATAAGCTAGCAGTGTGCTGCAGCTGAAAAAAGGGCCAATACAATCCTAGGATGGATTGTACAGAGGAATAGAATCAAGATCATATGAAGTGTTAGTTTCACTTTAGAATGCCTTGGTAAGATCACACTTAAAATACTGCATCCAATTTTGGTCACCAAACTATAAAAAAAGATGTTTAGACTCTGGAAAGAGTGCAGAGAAGAGCAATAAAGATGATTAATGGCCTGGAGGCTAAAACATATGAAGAATAGTTGCAGGAACTGGTTACTATAGTCTAGTGCAGGGGTGTCAAATTCAAGGATCCGGCCCACGGGGTGCTTAAATTTGGTTTTGGCCAGCAGGGTGCTTTAGGAGGCCATTCAGGCCGAAAATGGCCCACAGGGGAACATGTGCAGCACTCCTGCACTCTGTTTTGACTGACAAAGTGCTGCAAGGAGGCTGTCCAGGCTGAAAACATCCCCCCACGCCCTATTTGGGCCAGCAGGATGCTGCAGGAGGTGTCTGTCCTGTCTTTCCCCCCCCATTGGCCGGCCCATGGAGGAAAAGTACAATGCTGATCCGGTCCTCAAAGAAATCCAGTTTGACACCCCTAGTCTAATGAAAAGAAGAACTAGGTGTGACATGATAGCAATGTTCCAATATTTGAGGGGCTGCCACAAAGAAGAGGGGTCATCTTATTTCCGAAGTGCCAGAAGGCAGAACAAGAAACAATTGATGGAAACTAATGAAGGAGAGAAGCAATCTAGATCTAAGGAGAAATTTCCTGGCAATGAGAACAATTAACCAGTGGAATAGCTTGCTTTCAGAAATTATTGGTGCTCCAGCACTGCACTTTTAAAAAGAGACTGGACAGCTGTTTATCTGAAATGGTATAGGGTCTGATGCTTGAGCAGGGGATTGGACTAGAATAGGGGTCGCCAACCTTTTGGACCTCAAGGACCAGCAAACTCATAATTTTAAATCCTGTGGACCAGAGACCCTGGGAAAATCCCAAAAACTGTCCGCAGGAAAATTCCTCACCCTGTTTTCCTACCGATTATCATTCTTTATTTGGGATCGCAGGATACTGTCTCCAGCTCCGTTCTCAGAGAGAGAGAGAGAGAGAGAGAGAGAGAGAGAGAGAGAGAGAGAGAGAGTGTTTTGACTTCATGCAAGGAAAGCAGCAGAAGTCTTTCTTCCTCTCCCCCAAACTCTGCCAGAAATGAGCCTTTGTGAGACTTGTTGCACCAGCGCAGCCTCTTGGAGCAGGATGCCTTGCAGGGTCCCAAAGACTCATTTCTGGCAGAGTTTAGGGGAGAGAAAGAAAGACTTTTGGTGCTTCCCTTGTAGTAAAGCAGTACTTTGTTATCTTGATTCTATCCCTCTGTTAATGCAGACTAGGATTGCCATTGGCTTTTTGGTGGTTGAAGCACACTGCTGGCTCATATTTAAGTGATTGCCCACTAGGACTCCAATATCCCTCTAGCAGTTACTGCTATTGAGCCACATTTCACATAATCTTTTCCTGTACAATAGGTTTTTCTTGTCTAAGTGTAAATCTTACTTTTCTCACCATTGAATTTCATTTTCGTAGATAGGGCCAGAGTTCAAGTCTGTCAAGCTCCTTCTGGATCATGAGCCTTTTGGGATGTTGGCTATTTCTGCCAGCTTAGTATCATCTGCAAATTTGATGAATTCCCTTTCTATTTCCTCATCTAAATTGTTTATGAAGTTTATGAAGTACATGGCCTAAGACAGAACCTTGGGGTTCTTCACGGCTTACTTGCCTCCATGTAGATGTAGTTCCATTACATCTAGATGTAAATTGGTCCATTTTTACCACTTCGGAGACAGACTTGATTATCGCAACACTCAGAAAAAACAAAACCTAGTTAAAATCTTTCAGCTATATTCACGTAGCCCTATGGAGTTTTCCCTCAAGGTAGCCCCAGGCATTCATGAGGCAGAAGACATCCTGTTCCAGGGCACTGAGCTGAGCTTTTTTACTGGACAATTTTGCAAAAGTTAGTTTTATTACATCAGGAATTTGACTATTAATACAAGGGGACCGTGGCATTCATTATATGTTGATATATCAGGATTGTTACAAATCACCCAGAGCCTTTGAAATAGGCAGAACACAAAATGCTGAATATGCCCAAATAAGAAAACTACAGTACTTTAGCTTTAATAATAATTAATAACTGAAATTTATATGACCAAAACTCACAGTGACTCTGGGCAGTTATTGTAAGTCTGTTTGTGTAGTATGCCAAGAGATTGCCTTACAGCTTGCTGAACCATAAACGACCCACTCCAATTTTAGCATAGTCTCAGGCACTTGTAAACTCAGACATTACATCGGGAATGGCGGAAACGAGAGTGGTGGAATGTGAACCGGACGGAGCAGAAGGCCTTGAAGGGCGTTGATCGTAACCCTGCTTGGTTTGCTCAATTTTATTACTGTCCTACTCCTTTCCTATTAGTTAAAGTCAAGCAAAAAGCAGGCGTGTTTTTCCACCACAGGTATTCTTTGCAATATTTTCCGAATCCGCCTTGGGAGCCAAGACAGATCTGAGGAAACTGCGCCACGGCTGCAAAACCAGTTTACCTCGTTAGCCCAAGTTATCGCCAAGATTGTTTCCTTTGGGGCGGAAGCGACCCGGGGCTAAGTCTAAGTCAGGCACCTAGTCCACCGGGGAGCAGCACTGAGTCCCGTCCCGTCCCCCACCCGCACGAACGCGCAGAAGCTGCTTTTCAGATCAGTATCCAGCAAAGACCACCTGCTGCTGTCCCTCGCCCAGAGTAGAAAGTAGGGAACAAAAGGCGGCGCTCAATAATGCCTTACCGTGCTTGCCATAGTAAGTCTCCCCTTCCCCCGCCATCCCATCCGCCTTCTGGGTTTCCTTGCTCGCGTTCTCTCGTTTTCTCCCCACCCTCTTCCCCAGTCAGCTGCTGAACAGCCACCCAATGAGGCGCCTTGGATTGTCTCTTCTTCGGGGGCCGAACTACCCAAACCAGCAGAAAGTGGGCAAAGAAGAGGGGGAGGCGACGGCAGCGCAGCAGTTCGCACTGCCTTTCCAAGAGCCGGCTCGTCCAATGCTCCTTGACTGGCGCCTGCCTGGGCTTGAACAGCCACCTACAGAAACAGCCTTAGGGCTGAGTCCTGGTTTTAGTCATCCACGCCGGTCTTTTTCCAAAGAGAGTCTTGGACACTCGGTTTTCTCAACCAAATGCAACCCCAAAGATCTCGGTCATGGAAAGAAACTACCCCACCTATCCCCACCATGGGGTGTAGCTTTCAAAACAAGAGATTAGCAACTGTAGTGAAATGAACTTAGGTTTCCATCTGAATTTCTGGGCTCCTACAGTCTGTTACAAATGCTCGGCTGCATTTCAGTTTGATGTGCTGTGTGAATCCTGAGTTAATTCAGTGAACAAATTTGGTTCACTTATGACTTTCAAAGTTACAACAGCATTGAAAACAGTGACATCATTTTGTTGCAGCATCCCCATGATCACATGATTTACGTTCAGATGCTTGACAACTGACTCCCATTTATGACAGTTGACTTGTCCGTAGGTCACTGTGATCACCTTTTGAGAAGCTAAAGTCAATGGGGAAACCAGATTCACTTAACAATTGGGTTACTAATTTAACAACTGCAGTGATTCATTTAATAAATTTGGCAAGAAAAGTCATAAAATGGGACAAAACTTACTTAGCAAATTTGTCACTTAGCAACTTACATTTTGGGCTCAATTGTGATAATGTTGAGGATTATCTGTATTTAACTAACTTCATTGTTTTGTGTGATGTCTGAATATAACCAATAGCTGCTCTAGTCCATCATCTATATTAAGTATGACTATTAAGTATACCCAGGACATTTGTAGAGAGGACTAAGCTCTGTTAACAAAACTTTTGTAAATATGGCTAAGAAACAACAATCAGATTTGAATAAATCCGTTCTTAAATTTACCAACCTGCCATTTTTCTCCAAATAGTAGATCTACTTTTTTTCTTTTACTACTGACATAATTTTAAACGTTTTGTTGTTGTTGTTGTTGTTCCTTATAGCTTTTTTGGCTAGTCATTTATGCTTAACATTTCAGAAAAATTGGCCAAGAAAACTGCAGGAACTTGTCCAAGCAGTCTCCAAGGACTGGCCATGAATGAATGGGGAAAAAACAATCTCTTCAAATAGCTCCTCCTTATTGATTAACCAGTCTAGGATAACCAGTCTGATTCTCTAGACTCTCCAATCTTTTGGATTAAAATATTTGTGTTTTTATCCTCTTGTATTAATTGAAAATGTTATTTTAATTGAAAGCTGTAATCTTTATTACATTCCTCCAGTGGGAAGAAGTTAAGCAATGTTTAAAATGAACAAATACATTTTCAGTGGTTTGCTAAGACATGAATACTGTATCCCAAGAAGTGGGATGATGAACCAGTAAGTGACCACGATGGATATAATTATGTAGCTTTGTCCACTCTGAATTATAAAACTCTATTGATCCTAACCCATCTTAGGGTAACACCACATCACCAGCCAAAACACTTAAGTAATTCCCTGGTACAGTCTAAGTTAAAGCTAAGAGAGAGCAGCACTATCTACTGCATAGCTACTTCACTAGCTGGTGGCATCAACAAAAGTACCATCTGGGTACATATTCCAGCTTGATGCAGTTTTTTAATTGTTTTTTGGGAGGACAATAGTTTAGGAAAAAATTGCTATTATTCTCCAGCTAAAATATGGGAACCCCCCCCCCCCAAGAATTAAATATTTTGGGAAATATTAAAAAGGCAGAATATGGACAGTTCCGGTTTGTCAGGCTTCGGAGGCAGCAGGAATTCTCGTTTGTGCGCGATCCCTGCTGCGCTCGCTGCTGGAGTGCCTTCGATCCAACTGGATTAGGAGGCTATAGTTATCCTGTAGGGATAACTGAAGAGAGGGGAGATCCGGGCAGGGGTCGGGAGATATCGCACCCCCCTTTCCCAGCCGGCTTAACTCCCTTTTTCAAAGGTGGTGGAGCGACGGTCAGTAATGGCCGTCACAAAGAACCTCTCAGCCGGACAAGTTGTGTGCAGGAGGAAGTGAAGAAAGAGAAGGCTTTTGGCTGAACCGGGACGACAATTAACATCTGAATACCCAGGAACTTTGGCTTTTTAAGTGATATATTGTTTCCCAGAAGATCGTTAAGCTGCGGTGGAAAGTAAAGGGAAAGCTTTTTTTTTTCTCCTCACTTTCCTTCCCACGGAGACAGCAGATGGAAATTGGAAATACCCGCTTTGGCAGCAGAAGGTACTAACTTTCAAAATTAAAGCCAAGGGGACATTAGATTTCTAAACACTGACATTTAAAAATTAAAATCTTTTTGCTTTAAGTGGGAAGGAAGAGAGGTAAATGATTTATATTAACGTTTGTTGAAGGAGACTGCTTGGAGTTTTATAAGATTAGAGATTAAATCGCAATAAAACTTCCAAAAAATACCTTGGAATTGTGTAATTGAATTCTACCCCAGGAAGAGAAGTGAAACAGAAGAAAGTGAAACAGACTGTGCTGATTGCGCTGACTTTGATTGCTTGATGACTTTGGGACTTTAACTATCTTTTGAAAGACTAAGAAAACATTTGGATTGTTTAAAAAAAAAATTTTTTTTCACAATGGTATCTGTTGAAGAACTGAAAATGCAATTTGAAAAATTAAGAGAAGAGGAAGAAGAAGGCAAGGGTTCCTTTGGATCTATCCTTTGCTTTTTAGAAATGGTGATTTCTACTTATCAGGAAATGCAACAAGAAAAAGGCTGGGATGATGAAGAAGAAGCCATCTTTCATGGACATATGATTTTAAATAAGAAAGAAAAGGGTAAAAAGGAGAAAAAAATTAAGAATTTAAGCTCTAAAAAATCAACCGAGAAAGGGAAAAGTAAGGTGAAAAATCGATATAATGTCCGAAAGCAACAGAAAAGAGGAATACAACAGAGAGGGGAGCCTAAAAGGCTGGAGATTGAGGGGGGGGGGTAAAAAGGTTAGATTTGACAAGGAAAGAAGGGAAAAAGTGAAGGGAAGTTATAAAGGCTTAAAACAAGATGCTAATAAACAGGTTTTTTTCAGAGATAAAGGGTAAAACATAATCTAAAAAGAGATTCTGCAAAAGTACACAAGATTGTATTTTAGTATTTGTATTTGAAATATGGGTTAATAGAATATTGTAGGGAATGTGTAATTAATGTGTAATTAGTTTAATTAATTTGTTATGGAACATTATTTTTAATATATTATAAGATCATTATGTTTTATATTTTAAAATGTTATGTAGAATGTACTAAGCAGAATCAGAATAGAAACTATGTATTATTTGAAGTGTTAAATTTGGGGGAAAATAGAAAGGTGTCATACTTTAACCAGTGATTACAGGAAAAAGTTTGTGTTAAAGAGAAAGATAAATGGATAATTGAAAAAGAACGGACAAAAGATATAAGTATAATGATTTAAATTGAGATTAAATGAATAAAATAGAATTAAGAGAGTGAAAGAGGGGAGAAGATATATGGAAAATATAGAATGCTAAATAAGATATGAAATAGTATATAAGGTGAGCATGAATTTGATTTATGTCTGTACAAAAAGTTATAACCCGGGGTTAAGCCGCTTTCTAAAAAGAAGTTTTATGTTTTTATGTTAAGTATTTTGTTAGTTTATGTTTGTTTATTGAGGATTAATGATGTTGGATAAGAACATATGAAATAGTAATAATATGAAATATAGTAATATGAAATACATGAAAGTATAAGTTTAATGAATAAAATTGAACAGAAATAAAGGAAGAAACAGTGAGAAGTTGGAAAAGAGTAATAAGATATGAAGTTGAATATATAAGATGCATATTAAATTGTGTGTGGAAACGTGATGATTTAGAACTATGTTGTACTTAAATGAGATGTCTTATTTGTTTTGTTAAGCAGTTTTTAGAAAAGATGTTCTATGTTCTTATGTTTTATGTTTTGTTTGTCTGTGTATTCTCTTTGAAAATTAATAAAATTTGTTCCAAAAAAAAAAAAGGCAGAATATTATATTTCCTTATAGGAGAAATGAGGAAACATGCTCTTAAAGACAGAAAACACCCCAAGTCTTTCTTAATAGCCCACAACAGATGCCAGCACTTAAGAGACAAAGAGCTTATTGAAAGAGGAAGACAAGTATCTAGATACAGCAGCTCTACTCATAAGCAAAGCAAATGAACACGGGTAAGAGCTGCTATTACCTTGTGGCAATTCATGAGGCGAAGTGTAGATACTTCTCCACACTAATTGCGTCTGCAGATAATCGCCCAGCAACCCTCTTTAAAGTGAGCCATCTCCTCTTAGGGAAGGAGGAGATAGAGATCCACTTGAAGGGGCACGCTGAGGAATTTGTGGATTTTCTGGAAGACAAAATCACTTGACTTCGTTCCCAGGTAGATGCCGATGTGGTTGCTGATCCCGTGGAAGCTTCTGTGGCAGGTTCTTGCTCTGTTATCTGCGGACAGTTTGACCCTGATGCTCCTGAAGAAGTGGACAGGATCCTAGGAAGTATATGCGTGAGCATTTGTATTTTAGACCCATGTCCCTCCTGGCTTGTGAAAGCTTCCCAGGAGGTGACAGGCGGATGGACTCTGGCAGTGATTAATGCTTTTCTACAGGAGGGGACGGTGCCCCAGCACCTTAAGGAGGCTGTGGTCCGCCCTCTTCTTAGAAGCCATTGCTGGACTGAATTATCCACCCAGTTGGATAAGTTCTGACCTGTCTCCAATCTTCCCTTTTCGGGAAAGGTTGTTGAGAAGGTGGTCACACAGCAGCTCCAGAGGTTTCTGGATAAAACGGATTATCTCGACCCCTACCAATCAGGATTCAGGCCTGGATTTGGGACAGAAACAGCATTGGTTGCACTTTTGGATGATGTCTGGTGGGACCGGGATGGGAGTAGTGCATCCATCCTTGCTCTACTTGACCTCTCGGCAGCTTTTGATACCA